GTGGATTACAGACTTAGATCCCCAGTTCCATAGCCTACTTATGACTTTGAGTGTGGCATAGGCAAGGTGCTTTATCCTCTCCAGGCTTCAGTTTTCTCCTTTGTAAATCTGAGATTTAAAAAAAATAAAGTTACTTGTGGGATATTTTTGGAGGAAGAGAGGTGATATAAGTAAAGCACCTGATTGCTGGCCCATGTTCTATACATAGTTGCTGCTAATTTGGTCACTATGGTAATGATCATTATCATCTGTACCCCAGGACTTACAGTGGGGGGGAAATAAGAAGGGATGTACTTTTGGTTCCTCTAAATAATCTTGGGGGGGGAGGAAGAAAGAAGGAAGGGATGGAGGGAGAAAGGGATAAAAGGTAGGGAGTTGAGCTGGTTTGACATTGATCAATAAAGCATCTTGCCTTCATAACACTACCACTTACCTGGTTTCTCTTTCTTCCCTGCTTCAGCAGTGTCCACAACTGCCAAAATGAAAATGATTGCCAAGAAGGCAGCTGCAAATTTTCGACGCTGCTGCTGGTACTGTTGGGACTGCATTCTAGGAATAAACACAGAAAGAGAAGATGATGGCATTAACCTAAGTCAGGAAGACACATTGAACTCCTTGATGAAGGGCTCCGCTTTCCACTCCTGAAATGTTAGGTTTCAGGAAGATTCGTATCAATTATCCTGGGCAGAATTTTATCTTTTCTCCCCAACAGCCACCAAAATAAGTGCTCTTCTGCAATCAGTCACATATTCACTGACAGAATGCAACGGTTCTCCGCAGAAGACTTCACACAATCATTTGCTAAGTACAACTCAGGAATTATGGAAGAAAAAGGATTTCGAAGGCATATATTTGAGCAGTATATTTCTACAGTAAATCTTGCTTGCTGGTAGAATCATTTGGTAATATCAACAGCTTATGGCCATCTTCAAAATTCCTGACAATTCCTGGAAACGACCCCGGTGTCGCAGTCCACAGGGCTAACATGAATAGACATGATGAATGGATTATCTATACAAGTAT